TAAATTTGTTGTATGGGCGACGAAAAGAATCCTTGGGATCTTTAGCTGCAGCTAATTTCTTGTCCCGTGCTCTCTGTAGCCCCGAAAACTTAGACTTGCCCGAGTATCTCTGTGTTGACTGTTTAATGACGTTCGCTAAGGTATCCATGGATCTGATCATAAGAACCTCTCTTGAGTCTTTAGATACTTCTTTGGAGACCTTGTCTATGTTGCCACCAAACAGTAAGGGCGATGACCATGGAGCTGTGTATAGAGATTCTGTAAATTGCTTATCCCAAGAGCAGGAGGCTAGTAAGCCTTGCCGACGAGCCATGGTAGTAGTTTCAGTAAGCGCTGATAGGTGCTCTGTAAGAAATTGGTGGTCTCTTTTCTGCATGAGTAGAGCTGAGTAGATCATTCTATCTTCCTCCTCTGTAGAATTCTTGAACTTGGTGATGAGAGTTTCATTAATCGTTCTAGATCTATTCAATCCAAAGAACATCCTCCTGGCGATGGTATCTAGTTGAGCGAATTTGCGATCGTCTACTTTGTAACTTCTGGACTTGGAATCGCTGACTAATTTAAAGTTGTCATCAATATCCTGGGCCTTGAAAAAGGGGTCCATATTGTGTCCAGCAAATTTCTTGGCATTGAAGACCGGGAAATGTGTAGATTGGACTTTTGAAGATTTGGAACAGGCTGTATCCAAATTAGCTGGTACCGCTGCAATCGGATCAATAGGAGGTAAGGTGATATTGCTTACATCATCATCCTTCATCAGGTAAGTCTGAGTTGAATTCTCGTTCTTCGATGGGGAAGCAAGTTGTAACTCATTCACCATCCAGTATCTGATCTCAGCATCTGAGAAAATGATACCTTCTTCCTCTGATGTAGGGTCACATGTCGGAGTCCTAGATCTGTAGGAAGATCTATGAGAGGACTGTGGTGAACGGACTGACGAGTGGCTAGTGTAAGGAGACCTTGGAGGAGACATCCTCGGCGAACGCTGGGGACTTCGCGAAGCTCTTCTAAATCTTCTGGGCGAGGAAGATATGGAGCCACTTAGCCTTCGCGAATGTATCGAGTCAGTGTCCGAATCGACATATGAGCGCTTGCTTCGCGAACGACCTCTGTGTTCTACAGGGTGTGGGCTCGGCGAAGCGCTCCTTCTCCGCGATGTCTCTCGCAACTGGATAGGCTCTAGCTCCTTCGCTGAGGCGGCCTGGGACTTCCTTTGCGAACTGATCGCTACGGGCTGGGTTGCCCTTCGCAGAGGCGCGTTTGTGGGCTCTGGGGCCCTACGCGAAGCCAAGGCGGGCTCTGGGGCCCTGTATGACTTATTAAGGGTTGGGCTCTGGGGCCCGTGGCTCTGGGGCCTCTGTAAACCGTAACGGTCCTCCATCAGTCTCATGATTTGGTTAACCAGGTCGTCTGGGACGGTCTGCGCTGGCGTTGAGGGTGGCCTCTCTGTGAAAGTGACGGGACCCTCAATCGTAAACTCAGGCGTCAGCGTAGGCATCTCTGGTTGCGTGTTTATCTGCGCTGTAGTGACGGTAGCAGATACTGGACGTTTCTTATGACGTACATCTGGAATGATAATCGGAATGTCATCATCATATAAACATAATTCTGAGACAGGTAGAATATCGGAGGCAAAATTATTTGTAGTTTTCGTAGATTTCCCTTTTGACGAAGCTGTGGACCTGGGGGTTCGAAGCGTACGTTGAGATGATGTGGACGCTTTCCTAGTCTTAGACTGTGAAGACGGAATGTCTTGAGATGCAGGTCGCTTCTTGGACATAGCGGACTGCGTCCCACGCTTATCCCCCGAGGGAAACTCCGGCATGCCACCAGCCGGTGGCGGGTCGTCAGTCAACAGTTGACAGGGTATAATAGCTTCCGATCTATTAGCCATGACTGAAGATTGTTTGCGAGATTTATCTGCCTTCCGTCTCAAAACGGAACATAAATATTTATCAAAGGCAGAAATTGGTAAATTAATACATAATTTACAACGAGAAACAATAGAACATGGAGTAATGCAACTAGGGCATTTTAAATGTGGATCGGTAGCGGAATAACGTAGTTTACAACCTGTGCAGATTCTCATTAACGTAAACTGCTGAACAAACACGGCGAACCGTGAATAAAACAGCAGAAACACGACTAATAATCAATGCAAGTTGAATAAGGATACTAGTTACACCTCTATAACTGAATATAAGAGGTACTAAACTAAATATAAATAAAGGATATAGTGTGTTGGGAGACACAGGCGCTCTCACGTCCAGCTCACTGGGCGAAGGAGAGAGTGAGGCACATGGGTTCAGGTGGCGCCCTCGTTCCCGCGCTTGTGGAAGGGAGGTAACTCGTGGTGAGTACTAATTAGTGATTTTTTAATTGAAGGGAACTTCAATTGGGAGATACACGTGTTCCACTATGTTCGCAAGAAGAAGAAGACAAGCAATAAGCATGAGTCAGGATAAGGAAAAATAACATTTTCCACAAACTTACACAAATGACAAATAGAAACTAGTTGTAAGTATCTCAAAGAATTGCTGTACCGTGTGCCACTGCAACAGAATACACTTGTGAATTGTCATCAATTACTTGATTTGACCAACTGTAGTTCCACCATGTGGGCATAGGTAATCTCAGCTTGTTTTACTATTTACCACTTCACCACTGCAGCAAAGTCAAAATGCCTTTGATATCTCACCACATTGGCCAGTGTAATGAGACTTTGTGTATCCTTAAAACAATACCAAACTTCATACAATAAATGAAGCAAGGTACGTTTGCTGACCTATACAGTTTTCTGTGCCCATTCACAACTTAGTGCATGTGTATAGAGACTCTTATCATACTTTCCTGACTAAGAGGTTGTACTAAAACAGTCCCAGGGATTGGGAAAGGCAGGGGCCATTTAATGGCCCATAAAATTTTGAAGTCTACTGTTGATACAAGGGCAGTGGCCCATTCTAAATTCAGAAAATGGCTAATAATTGTGAAAATGGCCCATTGTCAAAGTTCTCTATCCCAATCCCTGCAGTTCTCTACAAAATGTCGGGGCGGTGGGGTAGCCTAGTGGTTAAAGCATTGGCTCGTCACGCCGAAGACCTGGGTTTGATTCCGCACACAGGCACAATGTGTGAAGCCCATTTCTGGTGTCCCCGCCGTGATATTGCTGCAATATTGCTAAAAGCGGAGTAAAACTAAACTCAGTCAGTCAGTTTCTACAAAATGTCACTGAAATCAATCGCAACCAAGAAGAAAAACAGGAACCTCACCCTGGTTTCACATTCAAACCAAAGTACCTGTGAAATGATAATTACCTCAAAAGGAATTTTTAATTACAAAGTAGACTCTTAATTTACTCGAAAACAACACTGACTAGGACGCACTCTTAAACTTATAGTGGAAACATGACAAACTTTCACTAGTTTCAGTTTCAAGCAGCTTAACTGTATTAATCTGACACAAACATAAAGCCTTAAACTCAAGGAGACAAACTCAACATAATTTTAACTGAATTCAGAGAAGTCTGGTAATTGAATTTCAGAATCAGCATCAAGCTTAGAGAATGACTGTAACAGGTACATATGCAATTATTTCATATTGTAATATAGTATATGTAACACAAATTGTAAAAGCATTGAAATGAATGAAAGTCACAATGCAATATACTGGCCGTTTTCGACAAAAAGTGGAATACCAGATGAGACTGATGAACATATTGTATATTCAAAAGGAGTGAGTGAGTTTAGTTTTACGCCGCACTCAGCAATAGTCCAGCTAATATGGTGGCGGTCTGTAAATAATCGAGTCTGGACCAGACAATCCAGGGAGCAACAGCATGAACATTGATCTACGCAACTGGGATATGACCACCTGATCTCCTTAGTCGCCTCTTACGACAACCATGGGATACTGAAGATCAATTCTAACCCGGACCGTCACGGGTATATTCAAAAGGTGAGGTGAGGTGACATGGGGTTTAACGTCGTACTTGAGAATATTTTGCTCATATGATGATGTGCCAGAGGTGGAAATAACCCACTGCCCGACGCCCGAGTCCAGTGTCTTTTTCTGTCGGGCAAGCAAATTTGTATATCACACTGTACCGGTGTCCAGTTGACTTTCCAATGTTAATTATGTTATTTATTTAAAAACTTAACAAGAAAACGGCTGGTATAGTTGAAAAATTATCAGGGCAAGTGATTTTACATGTGCCAGTGTACTGGAGTACACTAGCAATTTTAAAGTTGTTTCAGACCCCTGCGTGTGTGCATGTGTATGTGCGGCTGCTGGTACTAGCCCAGACTTAAGCTGGTTTTATACTGCTAGCTCACTGAGGTACCATGCCGCAGTTAAGCATGACCCCACTCAGACACAGTGTACTGACTCCGAGCCGACCAGTCCTTGTTGTACCCATAAATGCCGAACGCCAGGCAGGGACCAACAAATACCATATTTGAACGTCTTTAGGTATGACGCATCCGGGGATAGAACCAGCGATTATTCAAAAGGTTCTTCCATGTATATTTATTACTGACGGTTAAAATACATAGCCAATTCAATTCTATCCTTAAATACTACTCTAAACACTCATCCTACTACAATCTCCCAAATGATTTTGTGATGAATATTTGGTGATCTTTTGAACGAAATATAGCTAAAGGTGTCGTTGTTGGCACGGTTACTCCAGATGTGTATACAGAAATGTACCCAGGACGAATCCATTCCCCACTGTGTATTTTTCCTGATCGGAAATGAATTTGATTGCGTTATATAAGAGCATACACAGGAACGAATATTTCGTGACGCACAACAACAACGCACACAATCATCTGAACCTGAACCACTACACACGGTTTGGGTTTAGGGATCGTCCCACCTTTAGGGCACCGGGTAGTTTCTGTATTCTGACTTTCTTTAGGGTATATATCCGTTGTACCTGAGCCGACAACGACAACTTCAGCCGAAAATATGTGGCACTGGATCACGATTAAAAATACCACCTTCTTCAGATCTGTTTCAACTTTACTCCATTCTCGACGTTGGATTGGTTCATCGGCCGCTTCGTCGTCAAATACATCGTCAAATGTTTCTCTCGTAGTCATTGTCGCTATGTATAATCAAGTAGAAATCAAAATCGACTGCACCACATTTCGAAATATATGGGCGCTGCCATCTTTGAAAAGTCACATGACCGTTGTACTGACATCACGTGACTTGTCTGTATTGCGGGATTCTGTTGAACATGGAACCATAATTTGTGACTTACAGATCAACACCAAAATGTAAATCTTCAGTGACATCATTGTATGTTATACACATTGATCTTCGGTCATATCATTGGTTGTTATGCATGTACGTTACACATGCAGATCTACAATCATATCATTGGCAAAAGTAATATCAGCATCAATCGGGTGTCAAAATGTTCATCATCATGTTGAACTGTAGATACAAAATGAGTATGAATGAAATTCAAAGCATTGTGAATATGGATACAAAGTTCAATTTCAGTATAGAGTAATCCCTGCAACAGATTGTATGTGTGCAAACTAGTATAGAGTAATCCCTGCAACAGATTGTATGTGTGCAAACTAGTATAGAGTAATCCCTGCAACAGATTGTATGTGTGCAAACTAGTATAGAGTAATCCCTGCAACAATTGTATGTGTGCAAACTAGTACAGAGTAATCCCTCCAACAAATTGTATGTGTGCAAACTAGTATAGAGTAATCCCTGCAACAATTGTATGTGTGCAAACTAGTATAGAGTAATCCCTGCAACAATTGTATGTGTGCAAACTAGTATAGAGTAATCCCTGCAACAATTGTATGTGTGCAAACTAGTATAGAGTAATCCCTGCAACAATTGTATGTGTGCAAACTAGTACAGAGTAATCCCTGCAACAATTGTATGTGTGCAAACTAGTATAGAGTAATCCCTGCAACAAATTGTATGTGTGCAAACTAGTATAGAGTAATCCCTGCAACAATTGTATGTGTGCAAACTAGTATAGAGTAATCCCTGCTACAATTGTATGTGTGCAAACTAGTATAGAGTAATCCCTGCAACAATTGTATGTGTGCAAACTAGTATAGAGTAATCCCTGCAACAATTGTATGTGTGCAAACTAGTATAGAGTAATCCCTGCAACAATTGTATGTGTGCAAACTAGTATAGAGTAATCCCTGCAACAATTGTATGTGTGCAAACTAGTATAGAGTAATCCCTGCAACAATTGTATGTGTGCAAACTAGTATAGAGTAATCCCTGCAACAATTGTATGTGTGCAAACTAGTGCAAACTAGTAAAGAGTAATCCCATCCCTGCAACAATTGTATGTGTGCAAACTAGTATAGAGTAATCCCTGCAACAATTGTATGTGTGCAAACTAGTATAGAGTAATCCCTGCAACAATTGTATGTGTGCAAACTAGTATAGAGTAATCCCTGCAACACAAATTGTATATAGAGTGCAACACTAGTATAGAGTAATCCCTGCAACAATTGTATGTGTGCAAACTAGTATAGAGTAATCCCTGCAACAAATTGTATGTGTGCAAACTAGTATAGAGTAATCCCTGCAACAATTGTATGTGTGCAAACTAGTATAGAGTAATCCCTGCAACAGATTGTATGTGTGCAAACTAGTATAGAGTAATCCCTGCAACAAATTGTATGTGTGCAAACTAGTATAGAGTAATCCCTGCAACAGATTGTATGTGTGCAAACTAGTATAGAGTAATCCCTGCAACAAATTGTATGTGTGCAAACTAGTAAAGAGTAATCCCTGCAACAATTGTATGTGGGCAAACTAGTATAGAGTAATCCCTGCAACAGATTGTATGTGTGCAAACTAGTACAGAGTAATCCCTGCAACAATTGTATGTGTGCAAACTAGTATAGAGTAATCCCTGCAACAATTGTATGTGTGCAAACTAGTACAGAGTAATCCCTCCAACAAATTGTATGTGTGCAAACTAGTATAGAGTAATCCCTGCAACAATTGTATGTGTGCAAACTAGTATAGAGTAATCCCTGCTACAATTGTATGTGTGCAAACTAGTATAGAGTAATCCCTGCAACAATTGTATGTGTGCAAACTAGTATAGAGTAATCCCTGCAACAATTGTATGTGTGCAAACTAGTACAGAGTAATCCCTGCAACAATTGTATGTGTGCAAACTAGTATAGAGTAATCCCTCCAACAAATTGTATGTGTGCAAACTAGTATAGAGTAATCCCTTCAACAAATTGTATGTATGCAAACTAGTATAGAGTAATCCCTGTAACAGATTGTATGTGTGCAAACTAGTATAGAGTAATCCCTCCAACAAATTGTATGTATGCAAACTAGTATAGAGTAATCCCTGTACCAAATTGTATGTGTGCAAACTAGTATAGAGTAATCCCTCCAACAAATTGTATGTGTGCAAACTAGTATAGAGTAATCCCTGTACCAAATTGTATGTATGCAAACTAGTATAGAGAAATCCCTCCAACAGATTTTATGTGTGCAATCCAGTGTAGAGTAATCCCAGCAAACTAGTATAGAATAATTCCTGCCAACCAATATATAGTAATCCCTGTAACAGACTGTTATGGGTGCAAACCTGTATAGAGTAATCCCTGTAACAGACTGTTATGTGTGCAAACCTATATAGAGTAGTCTCTGTAACAGACTGTTATGTGTGCAAACCTGTATAGAGTAATCCCTGTAACAGACTAGACTGTTATGTGTGCAAACCTATATATAGAGTAATTCCTGTAACAGACTAGACTGTTATGTGTGCAAACCTATATATAGAGTTATCCCTGTAACAGACTAGACTGTTATGTGTGCAAACCTATATATAGAGTAATCCCTGTAACAGACTAGACTGTTATGTGTGCAAACCTATATATAGAGTAATCCCTGTAACAGACTAGACTGTTATGTGTGCAAACCTATATATAGAGTAATCCCTGTAACAGACTAGACTGTTATGTGTGCAAACCTATAGAGTAATCCCTGTAACAGACTAGACTGTTATGTGTGCAAACCTATATATAGAGTATTTCCTGTAACAGACTAGACTGTTATGTGTGCAAACCTATAGAGTAATCCCTGTTGCATACAGGATATTAAAGACCTTCCGTCTAATACCATTTTAAGGAGTTAATGATTTAGTTCTGGCTACCCACTCGAGGGTGAAGCATGTACTGGGCAGAGAAATATTACAATGTGCTGAAACAAGCATCAGGTCATGTCATCAAGTTTACCATTTATAAATGGTCATCACTGGACATCATATCCAGTCTCTGGTGCACCATGAATGTATACATTTTCAAAATACCTAACAGCCTTTAAAATATAGTTATATAATTTGTGGTCTGCATGAAATTTAAACTAATCCATAAACTGACTCATATCCACTGTGACATCCATTATAAACAACAAACATTGTCCCAACAATAGGTGATCTATGGATGCTGATGTATGGGAATTCTTTCTCCTGTGTGATGATTGAGGGAAGAGTAATAAAATCTGTTCCGTGAACCCATGAGACGTCTGGGAATTGAAACCAACAAAGCTGCTTAAAGTTGGGATAAAACAGTGTTTCTTCACAGACAGTTGACAAGAAAAGGAGGGTCTGTGACCACTATGTAACTGCTGGGTGGGAATAGTTCATCAGTCTTGAATGTCTGGGGTAACCTAAATAATGGAAGACTGTGTCTTACTGTTTTCAGATTCCATCATTTATCATCTGAAATATTGTTTGTGATGATATTTGTAATTTAAACTTTGCCATCAGATTTTCTGATAATCATTAGTTATATACTCCGAAACGTTGTCTTCCTCATAATAAAAAGGTTGACATCCATAAAAACTCTCTTCCTTAATTATTAGTTTGAAGAAAACGTTATGACATTAAATAAATATAAACACACAGAAATGGCCTTTGATGACCACTGACAATTTTAACTGGAAGGTATTCATAAAAAGTCAGAAAAAAGATGTAAAGCATGAAAGATGAGTTATAATACCTAGTCACCTTCCTGCTGAGTGGTCAAGGAACATCATTAAGTGGCCTTCAGTCAGCCTGTAGTCGGGCTCTACCCTTCAGCTACACGTGAACTATTGTCTGTGTCACTGTCTCCGCTCTCGTCACAATGTTTTATCGTCATGTTTGTCAATCTTGAATTACAGAAATGTCTTGCTGTCCACTTGCTGACCCATGACTTCTTGTGACATCTGACCTTGTCTGTCTCATGTTGCCTTTCTATGGTAAACTGCAATACAAGGGGAATAATAGATATGACCTCTGGCTGAAAACACAATAAGGTAGGTGATTTCATTGTTAATGAAACCCATACTGATGAACGTTTGTCCTACTGGAGATGGTGTGAATGTTTCCTCTAAGTAAATGTCTAAGTTCAATTTGTTGAACCTCAGCATGGCCAGGGAGTAATGTTGTTTGTTTTCAGTTGTCTGATTATAATACTGTCCCTGTTGACATGGCTACAGTCTCGATTAGATTGGCTTCTTCTTATTGATTTTTTATTATTATTATTATATTTTTCATTTATTTATTTATTTATTTTATTCCAAGATAGAATATAGTGGCCATGCTTTTACACTAAACCGTACATATCCATGTGGATAGGGATTGGGGGCCTTTTGCGGTAAAAAGATATATACCGGTATAGACATGCCGTGGCTTAGGATGATAGGAGAAATTTGTATCATCTGCATATTGGAAAATAGAATATTCTACTCTTTTAAAATTAATCCCGTTGATATTTTTGTTACGTTTAACAGAAATAGCAAGCAATTCTGCACATATTATGAATAGGTAAAGCGATAGAGGATCTCCTTGTCGACATCCCTGACCCAGACTGAAAAAATTGGAAATATGTCCAGAGTTTATTATAGCACTGTGACTATTTTGAGTAAAAAGTCTAATGCATTCTCTAACGGAGGGGCCAAAATTAAATGTGTTTAATGCTTTATCGATAACTTCCCATTCTAGAGAGTCAAATGCCTTTTCAAAATCAACCATTACCATAAGTCCGGGGAGTTTATGTTCTTCACAGTGGTTTATCAAAACATACAATATTCTTGTGTTTTCTCTGATAAATCTGCCTTTCATAAAACCAGTTTGTGTTTCGCTTGTTATATTTGGTAACTCTGTTTTAATTCCACGAGCAATTGCGC